TCTGAGGCAACCCTTTTGCTAATCCTGGAGAAGTCATTCTATGTTTCCAGATCCAGAGAAACTCTTAATCAGATATGAAGGTAGAATAAAGACTTTTTCAGATATGCAAGGACCCATTTTTACTTCTCACATATGCTTTCTCTGGATTACTGCAGGATGTTCTCCAGGGAAACAATGGTATAAAATGAAACACAGGAAGACGTGGAATCTGGGATGCAGAGCACCCACTCCAGAACTGGGGTGAGGGAAAGACAGGACAGGAAAGGAACATCCTGGGCTGAGCGCTGCGAATGAGGCCAGGTTCAGACTGGAGCAAGAGGATGGAGGGCTCCAAAAGGGAGGTCCCGGGAAAAAACCACAAAGGCAGCAACAACAAAACCCAAACCAAAGAGAAGAACAGGATGAACTAGCCGAGGCAACGGAAATTAGCAGTGTAGGCATTTGGGAATCTGTAGGTGCTTTTGCAAAAAGAGAGAGAGAGAAAAAAAAAAAGATGGGCACTTACAAACTAAAACAAGTAACAGCACGGCAACCCTTACCTTTAGGTAAAAGAACTGGTTGTTTAAAAAAGGAGTCACAACCACTGGCTGCTACTTGGATTAGTCATGATAATGTAACGTGGATGGCTGTGGCTTCCACCCAGAGCTGTGCTCTCACCATACTGGGAAAACGTGCGTGGGTGTAGAGGAGACCTCTGTCCTCACTTACCTTGACAGGAATTCAACAAATGGACAAATTAAGGAGTAACACCCTGTGCCAATTACTCAGAAATAGGGGCAAATGCCAGAAGAAACAGCTAAAATTGTTGGAAGCGGTGGGACTCGGGGTGGGTGGGTGGCGGTGGGCTTTTTTTCATACAAAGCCTCTTAGAACCATCTGACTTTTAAACTACATCAGACATTACTTTGATAACAGTAAATGTTAATGTGTTAAAAAGTGAGTGAAATAAGGACTTGGAGGAATTGGAATAAACAGCTTACTGGACCTGAACAACTTAGATTCTGGAACATTGTAGGAATCGTTCCCCGAGACTCAGGCAGGGCACTGGGTCAGTCGAAGCTGCTGGTGTCAGCATCGTCTCCAGGCTGTGTTGGGCACCGATCTCGGGCCCCTCAAGGCCTCCAAAGTGCCAGAGGGCAGTGTGGGCGGCACAGAGCAAATCACAGCCAAGATGAACCCGGATCTGATTCCAAGCAAGCAGTTAGACCTCAGCAGGAGCTAATGATGTGCCTAGCGTAGAGCTAACAACGTTCACGTTTATCTCCCTTAATTTAATCTTCCCAAGAAGGTGGTGGGTTGGGTCCATGTTCAACCCAAGAGGAAGATCAAGCCTGGAGACATCACAGAGGTGCCCACATTTAATGCAGTTACTACAAGGCAGAGGAAGGAAGGGAACCCAGGTGTGTGAGACCCCAGATCTAAACCCCTAACCACAGTCACTCGGCCACGGGGCCTCCCTCCATCTTTGCAGATTTCCAGCTGCACAAAGCCTGCTCCACCACTTCTGGTTCTTTCTTTTGACTAAGTCACTCAACCTCTCCAACATCAACTTCCTCCCTCAGCAGAGCTGATGATTCCATCTCCCTCGTGGGCCTCAAACAACACATGTGGGATTTTTAAAATAGACTCTTAAGTGTCAATTTCTGCAAATGGAAATCTTATTTTTGTTGACGGGAGGGTGACAGGTGGCCTTGTGATGCGATTCTGCCTCCCGTGTAAAGTTCAGAAAAGCCTTCTCTGGCTCGCTCCCACGGCTCACCAGCTCCCGGACAGACGCTGAGAAGAGACAGCTGGGGCTCCAGGAGGGCACACACCAGCCAGGGCAGCAGGCAGGCCGGCGCCGTGGCACCAGGGCCCTAAACGTGGCCGGCTCCGAACGCGTCACCACTTCCACTGGGGGAACCGTAATACGCAGTTCCGGGCATTTCTTTTTTTGTTTCCCATTAATCTCGGAGCCCCCTGTGAGCACGATGTTCAAAAGCCGTTAAGTCCTCACCTCCAGCTGATCATCTGTGACAGAACAACTCCAAGAGAAGCCGAGTCCGTTCCCTTAACCCCGGTGCCTGTATGACCACAATCTGGGGCAACTTTCTACCTGCTCTGGGTTGAGGCTGATTTCTCCCTGTCAGCGACGTTCCAGGCATTTACTGCCCAAGTCTGCCCCCTGGTGGACGGTCCTCACCTTTTTATTCCTGAATTCTTTCCAAGTGCTTTCGCACTGATTAACCAAAACCATCAGATGCCTGCAACCTATGAGGTAAGTAAGGTTGGTATTTTTATTTCCTCTGTATAACGACAAAACGAGGGTTTAGCGAGAGGAGGAAATTGGCAAGTTTCTGGAACCACATTTAGTGTCTTTGTTCCTCCATTCAGCAAAACCCCCACATAATGAGTGCTCTGGGTTTGAGCCCAGTTTCAGTCTTGGTTCAGCAACTGTCACCAAGTGAGGTTCTTCTACAGACTCGAATCCGATCACTACCACGCTCACCACTATTCTGAACATCCGCACGTGTGTCATGCATGTGGTAAGGAGCCTCCATGAGGAAAAGCGACGGCCGACAGACCGTTTCAGCTCTCAAGTTTCAACGTGTGGCAGGCTGCCACAATCCCTCCAGACTGGGTTTAGCTAAATATGGAGACAGGCAGAGGGATCTCCTCAGACTCCTTGGGATACAGCCACTAACCATCTTAGGACAGGTGTACTTGGCTTTGAAGCTCTCCTTAGAGTGGGCAATCTGCCCTCCAGGGTGCAGTGCAGCCCAGCGGTTGAGATCTCTGATCTGGAGTCAGGCTGCCAGCTTCAGCCCTGACTCTGCCATTTGGTAGATACACAACCTCGGGGGAATCTCATAACCGCCTTGCACCTCCCAGGGAAAACTGGGATAAAGGATGGTGTTCCTCTCAGAGATGCTGGGAATATCAGCCACACAGCGTGCAGAGAGCACTCAGCACCAGGCCTGCCATGATGCCAGTGAGCATCAGCTGTCCTTCTCCCTGGCTGTTAATGAGCTGACCTAAGGCTGAGCTCGTGAGATGGTAGGGGGTGTGCTGGGGGGGGGGGGCAAAGTGGGTATTTACTTTAAATACATCCTCTTAGTTGTGTTGGGGGAGTCTTCTGCAAAACCCTCTCCCCAAGGACAGGGTGTATGCTGGGGACTGCCTGTGGTCATTTTGTAATAGAAAAGAACATATCTGACTCCATATTAGATCTGTTTCTTTGGCTTTAACACTGTGCCCTGTTTTCTAGACTTTGTCTTGCTGGCTCTGCACCTTTTAGAAAAGAATGTTGCCTTTAGCCTGAAAGAGACAGGAGAGTCTATTCTCAAGGCTCTGACATTTAAGGATATTAACGCTTTTGCACTCCTATAAAGATAACAAGTTGCAGAATGGAAAATAACATTTGTTTTGGTGGAGATTTACAGGGACACCATGATCTTACCCACATGGACAGCTACAAGAACAAAGAATTCCTACACCAAGAAGTTTGCAACAACCAACCACATCCCCTCCCCCTTTTTAGTATAAAAGGAGCCTGAATTCTAATTTGAGTAGGATGGTTCTCCAAGACATTAGTCTGCCATCCTCTTGGTCTGCTGGCTTTCGGAATTAAGTTGCTATTCCTTGCCCCAACACTTTGTCTCCTGATTTATCGGCGTGTTGTGTGAGGAGCAGAACGAGTTTGGACTTGGTAACAATTTTGGGTTATCCAGTGAGAGGAAACACCACAAGCACATGAGGGAATTGGATACAGTGCAAGTGTCTCATTCAATTAAGAACTGTGCCTTGAATAGATGTCTCCCTGAAGAAGATGCACAAATGGCCACAGAGCGTCACTAATCACCAGGGAAATGCAAAATCACGAGATACCACCTAATACCATTAGGGTGGCGATTATTTTAAAAAAACAAAACAAAATAACAAGTGTTGGCGAGGATGTGTGGAATTTGGAATCTTTATGTGCTGTTGGTGGGAATATAACAGTGTAATCGTTATGGAAAGCAATGTGGCAGTTCCTCAAAAAATGAAAAATAGAACTACCATAGGATCCAGCAACGCCACCTCCAGGCATTCACCCCAAACAACCGAAAGCAGGGGCTTCAATAGATCTTTATAAGTCCATCTTCACAGCAGCATTATTTGAATAGCCAAAAGGTGGGAGCAACCCAAGTGTCCACTGATGGATGGACGAATAAACAAAATGTGGTAACTACATACAATGGCATAGTAACCATATAAAGGCAGGGAATTCTGACACATGCTACCATATGGATGAATCTTGAGCACATGCTAAGTGAAATAAGTCAGACACAAACGGACAAATACTGCATGAGTCCATTTACAGGAGGCGCCCAGAGGAGTCAAATACTGGGAGACGGAAAGTAGAATGGAGGTTGCCAGGGGCTGAGGGGTTGGGGAGAGGGGGGGATTATTTAAGGGGTACAGAGTTTCAGTTCTGTAAGACAAAGAGTTCTGTGGATGGAGGGTGATAACAGTTGCACAGCAAGGTAAACATACTTAGTACCACTGAACTGTACACCCACCAATGGTTACCATGGTAAACTTTGCCAGTTAAAAAATTTGTCCCATCCTGAGTGCCAATAGCATCCCTTTCAGAGATGCTGCTAGAAAATCCCCAAATGGTCAAATATATATGCATTTGTTTATAAGAGGTTTGTTTATAATTGTGAGACTTAGTGCATTTGTCATACTGGTCTGGGTTTCCCTTTTTTTGTCACAGTTGCCAAGTTAAAGAGACCCCTGCAATCAAGTTAAGGAACACCTCCAAGGAGCCAAAACCCAGAGATGGGACTGGAAAAGAGTCATGTTATTAGCCCTTGATAGCGTCAGCCTCATGGAGTTCTCATTCATTTAAAGGAATTAGTTTGTACGTTTCTTCTACTAATCAATGAAATTGCACTGGGGCAACATGTTGGCATTCCTAGCTTCCAAGGATACTTTCAGGTTTCAGTGGAAAACTCTGAACAGGAAGAAGCTCTTACCTTGTAGATACAGGACTTGGCATTCAGAAAGAAGAGCTCGATGGTGGCATTGTCCTTCAGGTATGAAATGCTTTCGATATAGAACCTAAAAGAGAAAAACTGCCCATGAACCACAGCCGCATACACTGATCAGGCAGAAATATCAAGCGTTCTCTGAGTTACATGACTCGAGGACGAGAACTCCCAGACCAACAGGAACAAGAGAGAAAAAGCACCACCTATGGTTTCCATGGTTCGTTTCAGAGGAAACAGTGGTTTTCAAGTCCATGTACAGGGGGTTAGGGCATCCTGGCAGACAGCCCCTCAGTCTAGCAAAGAGCGGGACCTGCCATCAATTTCTAAGGGTAAACTTAAACTTGACCACCTACTTGCTTTTTCCTTCCCTGCTTTCCAGTTTTTCCTAATGTCATCTGTTTTCATTACATCACTTTTTGTCCTAATCACTGTTGATCTGGAGTTTTAAAAGATAATTTCTTCTGCTGAACGGAGTAAGGGGCCCTTTTTCTCTTTGAAAGGGTTGCGACCAATCTTCCTGAGGACGGCAAGGAGGGCCTTGATTTCCGCAGACCCGGCGGCTGCGGCGAGTGTTCTTAATGTTGTGATATTACCGCATGTGGAGCCAGGTGAGAATTGGATTCTTATCCAGATGGAGCTTATGGATTTTCTTCACGATGACACAGGCTGAGATGATTCACATTAAATGTGCCTTTACATAGACTCTGGAGTTTATGAAATTCCTTAATGAGCTAGGTCCTTGCACTTGTCTAGGATCGGCTTGTGCTAAGGGAGTTGTGATGAGAGGGGAGAAGGAAATGACTGGCATGCAGAGCCTTGGTGGGGGTCTTGAGTGGGTGTGACAACTCCTAGGGGGCACTGGACACCTGCCTCATGGAAACTAGGGGCACCTAGAAGGGGCAGAAGGCGAAATGAAAAGAAACCACCGCTATGGTCTTCCAGAACGTGTCTCAGCGTGATGGAAAGGATCTGGGGAGGAAGCCAAGAGACCAGTGATCTGGTCCCAGCTCTGGGTGATTCAGAGCAAGTCACATAATCTCTCAGAGCTTCTGCTTTCCAGGCTGTAAAAGAGGAGGACTCGGGCAGTGGGTCTCTAGCTAAGAAGTTGACTGCTTTCCAATACTGGAAATGATGCAGGTTGAAACAACCATCACAACAGCAAAACCAACACACCAACATTGTGTAAGGCAGACAAAATATGTGTGTGGGCTCGGACAAGCCCACAGCCCCCCCACTTTGCAACCTCTTGTCTACAGACTAAGTAAACGTCTTCTACCGTCTTACAGATGCGTGCAGAGGCTGCCGTGATGAGCACAATGCAGACTCATTTACATTTGTGAGTGAGTCCCGAGGAACTTGAGATACTAGTAGAGATTTTCAAGCAAAAGATATAAGTTGGGCATTTACCATCATGGAGGGTCTACACAATTTTTAGAAATTACAATAAAGTCTTCATTCTTGCGAAGCCTGGGAAGGAGCTCTTCCATCACCCCCGTCCATCACTCCAAAAAAAGACAAAAACAAAACAACTGCCTGCCTCCTGCTCTTGGAGCAAGAATTTTAGGTCATGGAGGATGCCGTAAAGGGTCTGCAGTGGTCTTGGAGGAACTGCAAAGTTGGACCACTTCCACTCCCCTAATAATGGAGACTTGAAATGCAGCAGCAAATTCTACAACTCAAAGCAAAATCCAGCTGTCCCTGGTCTTCGTGGGAAATTGGTTCCAGGACCATCTGCTCCCCTCCCAACCCAGGACACAAAAGTCCAAGGATGCTCAAGTCCTTGATATAAGCGGTGTAATACAGTTGGTAGATATCTGTGGGGTTCACACCTGCTCCACGGATATGGGGAACTGACTGTAAGTTAAATATGATGTAATTAAAAAAATCTACATCCGTTGTAAAAGGTTTTTGGCAAGGAGTAGTCAGAATAACAAAATGGGAAGGAAGGAAGGCAGGCAGGCAGATGGGAGGGAAAGATAAGGAAGGCAGAGGAGGGGAGGGAGAGGGGTGACACAGGATCAGGATGGGGCTCTGGGTGGGTCAGAGGGAAACCAGCTCAGCTGGGTGACTTGTGGGTGTGGCCTCTTACAGACGACTCCTGCTTCCATGCCTGTGTTCAAGCTTCACCCCCCAAAACAATCCTCCTGCACCCCCACAACTCACTCCTGCTCCCCTCAGCCTCGCTCAGGGTCACCACACATTTTCACCACCTCTGCTGACGGTCCACAGCAGATGTCCTCTCCCAGGCTCCAGTGACCCCCTCTGCTTATTATGTGGCCCCAGGGTCCCATGATTTTCTGTTCCCTGAGACGTCTTCTTTCCCGGTTGCTAACTCAGTGAGAGCTGCGACCCCATCGCCTTCATTTCTGCACCCCCAGCCCTGATCCAGGGCCCGGCACAAACATGTACTTAAACGTTCCTGTGAATCAAAGACACTGATTTCCAACCATTCCCCTCTCCCCACATCATCAGCAGGAGATCGTATTGGACAGTGAAATGGGCACTGAAGACAACACAGGAGGGAGAAGAAATAATAAATGATTTCCCAGACCCTTTGTGACTCGGGGGTCTTCCCCAGGCCCTGCTCTCACTGTGAACTCGCAGAGTTGCTCACCCAGCGCTGCTGATTACTTGGAATCCTAGAGCCACGAGAACAGCAGAGGCTTCTGGAGTTTCAGCGAGTGAGCTCGGTTCTGTAATAGCAATTCTGAGTCTACAGCTGTTGGGTCTGAAATCACTCAAGTTTGAGAACTAAGGAGCATTCTGCCCTCCCACCCCCAATTTTCTCCTCAACAGTGTATTAAGGGAAAAAAACCTAACACTCTCCTTTCAAATCATGGAAAACTGAAGTGAGATGGCAAATTCCACATCTTTGGCGACAGCGTTTGTTCTCTGGCTGCACAAGAGACAGGAAGGTGGAGGGAGTAAGAGGCATGTTCTGAGATGGAGGAAAAAAAATCATCTCCTTTTGACGGAAACTGGAAAGCAGATTTCTGTTAACCTCAACGACCAAGAAACAGCCTGAAAACCCCGTGTGTTCCCGGCTTGTTGTATTATTGCTTTGTAACCTGGGTATTTAACTTACCCTGAACTTTCCAGCTGTGCCAGGGTGCTGGTGAGTCGAAAAGTGCCCAGAGAGAAACAGACCTCAGACACCTCCAGTCCCCATGGAGCCCCAGCGCACGCTACCACACTACGTACGGGAGAGGAACTTCTGGGGAAACGGGAAATGCTGACGGTTTGCGTTCCAAGTGGAGGTACCACTCTTCTGGGTTTTCCTGAGAGCCTTGTCAGAGGTCCCCCTTTTGGGCAGTAGGTGGCGATGTTGCATTGCTTAACTACCAGTGCGGGGGTGGGTAGGGGAAGCTGCTTCAGAGACCTGGTTCACAAAGAAAGCCCCGGGTCTCTGGGAAAACCCAAGGGGATGAATGATGTCTCGTAGGTTCAGAGGGTCTGCGGGGGCCATTCCAAGTCTGATTCTGGATTAACCATGGGTTTCTGATGCTTTGACACCCAGGGGCGTGCTGACTCTGCGGGGACGGCCCCTCCCGGGCTTAGCTAGCTCCTAGGGGAGTGAAGGACTCACCTGTGAGCACTCCTTCCCCACGCAGGCCAGCCAACCCAGAGCCCACATACATTTTCTCGTCTCCTCTGTGGGGGTTTCACACTTCAGGCCATTGTCTGCCTGCCTCAGTCATCCCAGGGCCAGGAAATGGATAACTTGGGAGAACCCCCATGCCCCCAACCCTGCTGAAGCTATTCAAACAAGCCAATCCTAAGCCTGCTTACCCTGCCTCACCCATGCCTTCCTGCAGAGACCATGATAAAGGCTCCTGCCCACCGTTCCCGCCACACCCTGGGCCTCTTGGACGAGCCTGGTGCGTCCCCGCATGGCCCTGCCTGGCATCGGGTACCCCCCTCCTGGGAACTGAGCAGCCGTCTCTCTTTTCAATGGCTCTCATCTCCTCATCTGTTGGCCTCAAGTACCCGAATAATAACAAACCTGACACTTTAAAAAAGGCTCTTTAGCACATTAGCAGGACTCAATCTCAGGGCTTCTTTCTGAGCCAAAGGAAACGGTGCTCTAGGCCAAGCGCAAGAGTGTCTCTTGAGTACCGCGAGTGATGCCACCTCCAACGTGACCTCGATGATGCTAATCTGAGGCTATTTTATCAGTCTGAAGTAGGAGGAAGTATGCATTATGCTGTTACATGTTTGAACATATCCAACACTTGGGGCTCGGAAGCCTTGGGGAGTCTGGTCCCCTTTAACCTGTGGAAGCCTCGGAAGCAGCAGACGGAACCCAGTCCAGCCAGATTAGACGTCAGCTAGGTTTCCTCCTCTGGTCCCCTCGCTCCTCGTCTTCCCTCTCACATCCACCCCTTGGCACTTCGGGAATCACTGACTATTTACAGCAAGTGTTAATTAAATGGCCCAGTGATTTCATTTTGTAATGAACACAAATGTCACATTAGGAATGCTGGCGTTTGGTAGCAAAAAGGAGCCATCGTAATGAGAAGGATAATTAATACTGCTGTGAGTTTCCGCGGCCAAAAATCTCTGATGTTGAGAATTTCAACAGCGCTGAAAACCCTAACTGGGACCCCCAGTTGAGATCTAGCAAGTCCTGGTTAGCAGGCACCTCATTTTAGATCCGTGCCACTACTGTTACCAGGAGTGACAGGACACAGCAACTGCTGTCTTAATCAGCCCGGAAAGACACCAACAGTCAGGCCATGAACTTGGCCATAAAATCCCCTCTCCTTCATTAAAGCTTCCTGGCATCCCCTGTCTTTCTTTTCTTCCTGTAGCTCACTTTCATTTATTGTTTGTGAAACTCGAAGTTTGCGGAGACAAATCTAATCTCTATTCATTTTCCTACAAATAGCGTAGATGACCAGAGCTACAAGGACACCTGGCTGGAGAATACACAATCAAAGGAACAGCCCAGACACGGAGGAATCATTCTGAGCGCAAACCTGTGTCTATAAAAGAGAAGAAGGACTTCCTTGGGTGGGTAGGCATATTTCCCTTACATTTTTTTCTCGACCTATTTCTTTTTTTTCCTTC